TTAATTTTTATTTACCGTTCACGAAGATGTTTTTGTAAAAAATTTAGAATACTGGAAAATTTTAATCACGTAAGCTGATATATTTTTTTCTTTCTAATGCTAATAAAAATAAATAGTGTATATATATAAATATATATATATATATATTATATTATATATATAAATTGTAAATGATGCTAATCGCACTAAAAAATAATGTATTGTATATGTGAAATTTTTTTTAAAGTAGAACAACATAGATTATTCGAATTTATTTTCTTATTCAAACAATCAATTATCTGAATGCAGCATGAATTTGAATTACCATATCTATTCCGAAACACATAATTTTTAATATAATTACTTTTTTTAATTTATTCACATTCCTTTTACTTGGTAAATTTAAAAATTATATCACGTTTTTTTTATCCAAATGAATCTGTACCCCAATCGATTAAAATAATCTAATCCCACCAGGTATAATCAAGAACGGATAAGAACACGATAATTTATTAATTAAGACACGAGAGAGGAGAAAGAAGAGACTTGGAAACCAGAGCTAAGGACACGGATACGTAGGAACGAATCAACGGCGGACACAGGTCCGGCAATTAGTTTAACCGAACCGCGGCGAGCGGATCATCGTCGACAGAGAGTTTCGCGTAGTATGTACGCCCGTCCGTACACCGTGATTTATGTTTGCCATACATTACCCACCGAATAATCCCACGAAAGGGTATACCCGCGCGCGAGACATCCCCCAGGCACGACGCCTAGCCCTTTCGTCGGAGGGTCGGTTACGCGACGCACACGCCGTTTAACCGCTACTCGCTGATCGCTCTATCTGTTTCAATTAAAACTACTCTCGTCATTCGCGTGGAATGACGCTGGAATCGAGCCCATGGAATCGTTTGGAAAAAGAGTGGAAGAAAGATTTCGTGTTGGCCACGTGTTGTTTCAATTAACTTTCAGGAAGATATATAACGTATGTATTTTCTTTTTTATTTTTTGTAAATAATGTAATGAGTTATATGATATTTCAATCTTCTAAAAGTATTCTATATATCTATCTTTGTATCTTAACATTAAAATTATTTATAACAGAGTTTGATATCATAATCATAGATGGACATGTAGATTATTTGTTTTAATCTAATTTATTTATCAGTATGCAGAGAATTCATACAGGAATTTTATACAAATAATTCCAATTTCCAAAAGTAAAAATAAATACATGGAAATATAGATAAAAATAATCATCTAGACTAAAAATATTAACAATATCCATTTTTTCTGGATTCAAAATACAGATATATATTATATCACAATAATATATATTAATAATATATTATCACAATAAATAAGTGTTATAAGCTTCTATTAAGAAGCTTTATAAAAAAAATCTCTTTATCTATCTCAATTGAATATGCACAGAATAAGTGCTACTACCCATTACAACTAAATTCAAGGTGCAAAGAATAATCAACACTTTACTCAACTTAACCTACTTTTCCCATTTAACCAGAAATATCAATAACGATCTCTTTTCATTTCAGGCGTAACCATCACCGATTTCCAAGAAGAAAAAAGAAGACCAAAACACTCGTTTCAAGATGCACCGCGAAGAATCGACATCGACTTACCAGATCACAATTGCACACAGTTTTAGAAAACGGGTAGCACACAGTCTTTGTCCCCGATGTTCCTTGCCATTAACCGTCTGGATTAGGCACTCGGGTTGCGCGAACCTCTCTCTAAATGGCGGTACTCGGCGGAAGCAGTCATTTGCGATAAGGGCTCGTTTTCGCGCGAAGAACATACGCCACTTTCTTCTTTCGTTCTCTTGTATCATCGTGCTGCAAGTGGTCGTGGGGAAGGGAGAAATAGCGCGAAAATAGAGGATGAAAATAGCCGCGGAAAAACGGATACGGTCGCGGTGGCCTTGTCGGGTTGCATTCGCGCGGCGCGCATCGGATGGAGCGATGGAGGGGCGGGGAGAGAGTGGAGGGGGGAGGAGGAGGAAGCGGCTCAA